TACAATTGATGAATTCTTTAATCAAACTAATTTCTTTCAAATTTTTATTTATATAGACCAATTTGATCATAGAACGAAATCTGTAAAATAGATACCTAAAATTTTCGTTTTTCATTTGATAAAAGGATAGCTCTATTATAATTAATTTATCTTGAAAGTTGCAGAACTAAATATGGATGATGGATTTTTGTTGCCCAATTCAAATTAATAAACATATCTTTCTGATTTATAAGTTATTTCAGCACAATATGATCAAGATTATTCAAAAAATGTATATGGGGAAGAACTAATTTAAGTATTATTTTTTAATTTAGATTAAATAAAAATAATTAATATGGTTGAATACCCAAAAATCTCAGAAATATTAGCAGATACAGGTTCAATCATAACTTGGATTCTTTCAATATCATTTTTAGTATCAAAATATAATGAGAATATTTGCTTATAAAAAACATAAAATAAAGTAATTTAAATGTATTATCATGATTATATTGATTTTAAAATATAAAAGAATTGGTTAGGTAAAATCAAAAGAATAAATTATAAAGAAAAAGAATATGATCCAAAAAAATCAGAATAAATCCTTAATAAATTAGATTAAATTGTTGTTGAGAAAATGAGTTATTTAAATTTATAAAATGAAGTAGCTAAGTAAGTATTTTTAGCTAAATTAAATTAGGTTATAATTAATCTTACAAGAACATTTAGGATTACATTAAATTAAAAAATATTTAGAATCAAAATATAAATTAGAACTTCTTTTTAACAAACTATGCAAACTTGAAAAAACATCAAATTAATAATAAATAAATTAAATTGTATTTCTTTTTCATTTTTTAGCATATTTTAAATGACTCATAATAAGGAGGAGAGAGTGAGATTAGAGTTAATGAAGCAATCCATCTAGAATAAGAAATAGAACAAAAGATTTCATTACTAAATATCAAATCAGTTGAGAGAGAGGATGCTTAAATAAAAGAATTAAATAGCAACTAAGAAATCTAAGAGTCCTTTTAAAATTTAAATACTTATATTAAAGTTACAAAAGATTAAAAACCAGTGTATTTAAAGTGATAATTATCAAGCATAAAATTAAATATAATAATCACAAAATTAGTTATTTTAGATTGTAATAATAGTTTTTTTTTTTCAATTATGTTTTTTTAGATTAATATTTCTCCTTTCAAGATTTACCAAAAAATCAATTATTCTTACTAATCTTCAATTTTATATTTCTTAAAAAAATTAAACTTATTAAATTTGCTTAATTACGTAACTCCTTCTATTTATTATTCACTATTTCAAATTAAAAAGTTTAAATGAGATAGAAAAGTATTAAAAAAAGATTATTTAAGCAAAAACTTAATTATTATTTATTTTTATTTAAAATGTTATACTTTTTATAATCAATAGATCAATTTGGAGCTTAGTAAAAGCTTTAAATTCCCACCATTAATCCTAAATAAAAAAGTGCTTTTGGTGGATTAGTAACTTTAACTTTGTATGGAATTAGTTTAGGATATTTTTTATTTTAATTTGTTGATTGGCAATAAAAACATAAACTTTCAAAAGTCACATCTCCATAAAAATAAATTAATGAAAATTAATAATTGAATATAAAAGGGATATTTGCAGAAATAAGTTACTTTAAAGAACTTAAAAATTAAATAGATCCTTTTGATCCAAAAAATATGATTTTATAACCATTTTTCAAAAGCACAACTAACAGTTATTCAAATGCAAATTATCCCATTAACTAGGCAACTAATAAACATCAAATGAATAAACCTTTTATACGCTATTTCTGGAAGATA